ACCGACCAACCTATACCTCTTCTGCGGTCTTACACTCAATGGATGTGTTGGAAGAGCGATAGCTAGCCAAACGTTGTGTTTACTGCTTAGACCAAAACTTCTTCCCCACCTGCATTTGAAAGCATACATCGAGCTTTCTCAAGTAGTGTTTGTTCATCCTTCCTGTAACTCCATTTTGTTATGGATTTTCTACACAGTTCTATGTCTTGCAATGTCTTTATTTAAAACTTATTAACTTTTCATTCAGAACTCAAGCCCGTTGTCTGTTCTAAGCCTCTTTGTCACGACCCGTCTTACCGAAGACATGGCCGGTAGATTTCACAAAGCACCAACCCACTCTTCGTGACTCACAAAGTACTGTCCCCCCCTTAAGGGTTATTCGCCTCCCCCACTACTCGAACCCAGACCAGGGGCTATAGTCATTGGGAAGCATGGTGAGTACCATTGGGCTAGACAGTACTTTGTGAGTCACGAAGAGTGGGTTGGTGCTTTGTGAACTCCACCCGGCTGTGCCTTCGGTAAGACGGGGCCGTGACAATAAAACCTTTTTATTGTCAAGGCCTCGTCTTACCGAAGGCACGACCGATGGAGTTCACAAGCACTAACCCACTCTTCGTGACTCCACAAGTACTGTCCCCCCCCCCCCCCCCCCCCTCTCTTAAGGGATTTATTTGCCTCCCCCCACTCGAACCCAAGACCAAGGGGCTTAGTCATTGGGAAGTATGGTGAGTACCATTAGGCTAGCTAGCCCAATGGTACTCACCATGCTTTATTGTCACGACCCCGTCTTACCGGAGACATGGCCGGGTGGAGTTCACAAAGCACCAATCCACTCTTCGTGACTCACAAAGTACTGCCCCCCCCCCCCCCCCCCCCCCCTTTTAAGGGATTTATTTGCCTCCCCCACTACTCGAACCCAAGACCAATGGCTATAGTCACTAGCTCAATGGTACTCACCATGCTTCCTAATTGACTATACGCCCTGGTCTTGAGTTCAAGTGATGGGGGAGGCGAATAATCCCTTAAGGGGGGGGGGGGGGGGGGGGGCCTTAACTTTGTGAGTCACGAAGAGTGGGTTGGTGCTTTGTGAACTCCACTCGTCGTGCCTCCGGTAAGACGGGACCGTGACAATAAAAAGGTGACTATAGCCCTTGGTCTTGGGTTTGAGTGGTGGAGGAGGCGAATAAATCCCTTTGGGGGTGGGGGGGTAGTACTTTGTGAGTCACGAAGAGTGAGTTGGTGCTTTGTGAACTCCACCCGGCCGTGCCTCCGGTAAGATGGGGCCGTGACACTCTTGATGTGCTTACTTGTTTGCTTTTCAACTAAAGTCTTCCACTGCTTGAAGGTTTCAAACACTTGACTCTTCTCCTTCAAGAAATATGCCCAAACTCTTCTAGAGAAATCATCAATGAAAATGAGCATGTACTTAACTTTAGAAGGAACTTGAGATGGCCCCCAAAGATTTGAATGGATGTAATCTAGAAGTCCCTTTGTCTTGTGTATGGTTGTGCTAAAGCTCAATCTCTTCTATTTCCTAAATACACAATGCTCGCAGAACTCCAACTTCCCTATTTGTTGTCCACACAACAAACCCCTCTTACTTAATGCTGCCATCCCTTTTTCACTCATGTGACCAAGCCTCATATGCCATAGTTTGGTATTATCTAAATCAGATGAAGAATTGATAACAGTTGCTGAACCTATAACTGTAGATCCCTGTAGAAAATACAAAGTGCCAAATCTCTCTGCCTTCATCACTGACAAAGCACCTTTTGAAACTTTAAGCACTCCATCTTCACACCTGAACTTGTAGCCATTCTTCTCTAGGGACCCTAAAGAAATCAAATTCTTCTTCAAGTTTGGAATATGTTTAACATCAGAAGGTGTTCTACCCACCGCATCATGCATCTTGATCTGTATTGTGCCTATATCAACCACCTTACATACGTGATCATTACCAAGAAACACACTTCCATTGAATGACTCATAGGTTACAAACCAATCTCTGTTAGGAGTCAGATGTTGTGAGGCTCCTATATCCATGACCCAACTTGTCTCAAAATCATGTTTAGTGTCATTCACACATAGCAGTTCGCCATTATTGTCATCTGCAATATTTGCTTCTTTTGACTTAGACGTATTGTCATTTGCTTTCTGCTTATTGTTCCACTTAAAACAGTCAGTCTTAATATATCCCTTCTTCTTGCCATAATTACATGTCAAATTCCTATGTCTAGACTTAGACCTAGACTTTCCTGAATTTGAATTTCTCTCATTAGTTCTTCCTCTATCCACAAACAACCTAACACTCTGATTACTCGTTAATTGCCAAATTTTTATCAATCCTTTCTTTTGTTTCTAAATTTGACTTAACCTTTTCCAAGGACAAATCATCTCTACCATAAATCATAGTGTCTCTGAAATTTTATAGGAAGTAGGCAAAGAACATAACAGTAAAAGCGTTTGATCCTCATCCTCAATTTTCACATCAATTTTACTTAAGTCTGTAATTATTGATGAAAATTCAGCTAGATGCGAATTTAAGGAACTATCTTCTAAGATTCGCAATGTGTAAAGACGTTGCTTTAACTATAGCCTGCTCGTGAGAGATTTTGTCTAGTACTTATTCTCCAACTTTTTCCATGCTTCTGTTGCTGTCTTCACTTCCAATATCTCTCTGAGTACATCGGAAGTCAATACTAGCTGGATTGATGAAAGGGCCTTCTCATCCATATCCTCCCATTCAGCATCTGTAATAGTCTTAGGCTTCTTTACCTTCTCTCTCAACGCCTTCTTGGTAGCTTCCTTTGTCAATACTGCCATCATTCTGACTTGCCATATTGCAAAGCTTGTTGTACCATCAAACTTCTCAATTTCAGCCTCAGAGGATAATTCGGTCGTGCTGGATCCTGAAGTAGATGCCATTACACCAAGCTCTGATACTAGTTTGTTATGAAATATACCCAAAAACTATGAAAGTCAAATGAAACAAGCGAGAAATATAAAACAAGTGACACAAAGAATTTACGTGGAAACCCAAATTGGGAAAAACCATGGGCAAAGGATGAAAAATAATCCACTATAATGAAAGTCTAATTACAAATTTGCTCTCTCTCTTTCTCAATAGATTTCAGGAAGAAAAAGAATAAAGAGGAATAGAATGATTTCTCACCAATGATAATAGGGAGTTTATATACTAAAACCCGATGTCCTTGAAAATACAAAAATGTCCTTACTAAACACCTAAGTATATAAGGACAATATAGAAGAATTTGCGTCATACATCAATAGAATCTAAAAACTATATCATACTAATAATTGATAAAATTTGAGGTGGGCCTGACTCCTCACCCAATGAGGCCTTCTTGAATAGGAGGATTACCCTCTCTTATAACCTAATAGACTTGAGCGTGTCTAGTAGGTGTGAGACTTCAACAATAATTTATCGATTCGGTATTACAAAAAAACAAAAAAAAAAAAAAAAAAGAACATAAATCCTTTAGATCTTGAATCTAAAAACTGTATCCAACCGATAATGTTTTCTGCTGAAACTATATCTTCATCTCCCTTAGATCTTAAATCTAAATTATGAAATCGTTACTGTTACCGTCTTACTGACTTAATAAATAATTAAGTAAGACCATTTCACCAAAGTAATAGTAATGGTGATAACCTAGGGTTGGAGCTTGAAAATACGGACATCAATGGTGGTTAAAGTGATAGCATGATAAATGCAAGGCAAACCAAACGATACTGTGAAAAGTGAATAGATAGTTGGCTGTACAGTGCCACTAAATACGTGATGACTGTCTAGGTCACCACCCCTTACCTTTTCGATGCATGACAAGCTTTGTCTCTTGGAAATTTAATTTCTTCTGTTCTCCTGTTCGATCAATTGCTATTGCTAGCCAAAGAACAATAACTTTTGAGGCTGTAATGTCAAAACATTTTCTCTTTCAATTTGATGGAAAACAACAACGAGAAAGACGAAAAGAAGGTAAGTGGTTGGGTATTCTGATACTCCCTATTGTTTTCCCCCCAATTTAACCTATTCATCCATTAAAGGGCTTGATATAAGAGTTTTGAGAGGGTGATTCGGAAAAGGAAAAAAGAAAAAAGTTGACAAAGAAATTAAACAACCCTTTGTTTGCTATAAGAAAACTTTTTAGGTATTTTTATTTAAAAATATTTTCTTATTTTCAATTACCAAAAAATATTAAGGTTCTCATGGATCACTTTATACGCCTTTAACGGCTTTATGTAGAAAAAAAAGTATTCTAGAATAAATAATACTATAAATATCAAATTGTTAAGAAAGTAAACATATTTAATAAATGTTTATAATAAAGATGGTATATGTAATTATATAAGGTAATGTCGCGTCACATTATATTCAAGGCTTTATAAGTAGGATAATATTCTAGGATAAAACAAAATACATAGCGTCATTTACATAAAATTATCTTCTCTCTCATTTATCTACAATGATTAGCGATAAAATTTCTTATTTAATGAAAACTTTCTTTAACCCTAAATTGAAATATCAAAACAAAAAGATGGATGATTAAAGGAATAATATGTTCTCCTTATCCAAATTCTATCTCTAATTCACTCATAGATATAAAAAAACAAAAGAAAAAAATGTATTTCAAATTTACACTCCAATCCCATATAATAATATAACTTTTTTCTATTTCTAAACATTATTTTCAATATACCATGATAGTGAAAGCCCAAGTTCAAAAGAAAAAAATTAACACCATAAAGTCAAGTGAAAAAAGAAAGAAAATGTACCGAATCCTAATAGCCATTGGATTATAATCTAACGGTTACGAAAGACCGGTAAGGTTACCGAGCGGGAACAAACATTGCCAAAAAACAATAGATTCTGGCATTTAAAGAAGAGAGACAAAGCGTGACGTGGGGTTCATAGGACCCGGTGCCCGCAAGCAACGGCCCAGATTCGCTCTCACCATCTTCCCATTTTGTTTATCTTCTCACTCTTCACCTTCCATTCTCATTCTCATTCTCCTTCACATTTCTCACTCTCCACTACTCTCATTTCTTTCATAAAAACCCCCAAGAAAGATGTTGCTGGGGAAGCGTCCTCGCCCTCCGATTAAGCGAACTACAAGCATGACAGGGATCACCATTGATGTCTCCAACATGGACTCTTCAGAGCCCTCTGATCATAATCAACCTCATCCTCCTCATCAACATCCTAACGTCCCTCATGTTGTGCCACAGAACATGAACGGCTACGATCAACGGTTCCTTTCCATGGTTTCTCCGAGAAACCTGCAGAGAAGTAATAATAATGAGTTCATGATGGAGACTTCTCATTTCCTGAGAACTTGTGGCCTTTGTAATCGCCGCCTCGCTCCTGGCCGTGACATTTACATGTATAGGTACGCTTCAATTTTCATTTTCTTAAGTATGAAGATCCAAAAAAAAAATAAAGAAAAAAAATTTCTTCTTTTTCTCCCACGGTTTATCTTTAAACATGGAAAAATACAAGTCAAGAGCATCCAAGCTCGAGTATTTCATAATTTTCTATGAAAAAATTTCTCTTTATCGTTAAATATTTTACTAAATTTTCTCGCAGAATATTAACAGTTATATGAAGTGAGCTAGTGAGTTGGTAAGATGTTTAGCGAAAATTATTTTTTTCTGCTGCAGACTGTATTCTTTTTTTTTTTTTTATTGTTCATAATCTAATTACTCTTCTCAAATCTGTAACACTTTTTTTTTTTAATTTTTTTTTTCATATTGGAGCGAGAAGCAAGGGCAAGTTGAATTAATTTAATGGACGATTTGATGTGCAGGGGGGACACAGCTTTTTGTAGTTTAGAGTGCAGGGAAAAGAAAATGAAGCAAGATGAGAGAAAAGAGAAGTTGAGTGGATCATCATCATCATCATCATCACAACCATCCTCAAGAGGTCCACCGGGCTCCAAGGGGTCTAGTAAAAGCGAGCCGGTGGCTGCAGCTTGAAGACAAAGAAGTAAGACAGAGTTAATCAATTAAACTTAACTGAAAGAGAAGGAGAGATCGGCTGAAGAATTAAGAAGTTTGAAGTGTAACATGCCCGTTTTCCACCATTAATGGCGCCCCACTTGCTAATATTATTTTACATGAGACTCTCGGGACTGGATGATGGTGATGGTGATGTTGGTGGTAGTGGTAATAATGAGAATCGAATGTAGAATTATTGTGTAAAAAAAGAAAAAAAAAAAGAATTATTGTGTAAAAAAAGAAAAAAAAAAAATTATGTATGGAAGATGAATAGTGGGTGGTGGATTGTGAAAGCTAGATGTGTGTGAAAAAGTAAAATATTATTTTACCTATGGTTACATGTCTAACTATTTTGTCTCATCAGCTTTGCTTCCCGTTCTAATTTTCAGTTTATTGTATTTTGTTTTGATTTTACAAAAATAGGTAAAAAAATATATACATATATTCCTCTCATTAGGATTTGAATCCAAATAAAGTTCTGAACATGTTAGAGAGAAAAAAGAATGAAAGGATCTTGAAAGAAATTCTTTGGTTGCTTCCACATCTGCTTTTTAGGTTACGTGAATAGTTGTGACATTCAGGAATATCCACAAAGGAGTGAACCACTTTTTTCCACCCTAATAATGGTTTAATAACACTTTCCAATCTATAAACTTTTAAAATACTACTTTTTCACCCAAATGATACATTTTAATGACACTTTCCCACCTATCCCGCCAATAACCGCCCAATTCTGGTATCGTTGCAACCTCACACCACACTATTCTCTTCCCTAACATTACTAACCAAAACCTCTCAAACCTTACTCCCTCTGATCCCACCAATCGTCTGAAATCAAGTGATTACGGTTTTCGTAGCCGTCCCTCCAAAGTCAAATTCTGACCAATCATGATAATTAAAATCCAACCTTTCATCATCAAAAGACTCACTGACATTCCTTCTTCAAAAGCTCCAACAACTTGGATCGAGTTTACTCTTCATTCATTGCCGAATTGGAAAGAGTATTTTTTTGAGTGGAAAAGTGATATTTTAAAAAACTGTGGATGAGAAAATGTCATTAAACTATTATTTGGATGAGAAAAAGTTGTTAATCATCAAGAAAAAAGACATTTGATATGAATCTTTGACACGATTTATTACACGGCGCATTTTTGTATCGATCAAAATGATTTAATACCTCTGATCACGATGTTAGAATAGTAATTATATTGATAGATTACAATCTTGAATCTTATATCAGGCTGGAAAGTAAAGAAAACGGGTTTACACGTTTTTTTGAAAGAAGTTTTATTAAAATAATTATTCAATTTTTTTAAACGAGTAATCAAAAGTCTAATGGACGAAAATTGATTGAAAAAAAAAAAAAAAAAAAAACCAGAAATTACTCTTTCTCTTTCGAAACTAAAGACTTTCGGATAGTAAAATTACCCATAAATTCATTGCCGTATGAAATCATTTATTGAATAATAGCCTTCCTTTATTGGTTTTAATCTCTCTTTGACAACAACATAACTTTGCAAAATTTTTAACTACATATTAATATGATTTTGTTATTAATTTTGTTCTTATATATGAGAGAAGCTAATTTGATTTATTGAGATTATAATTTGCTTGAGCATCGAGGGCCTGATTATGCTACAAAAAATTGTATGGAAATTCTAGGTATGAATGTTCATGTTATTTTAAATACCGTAAAGTATTCTTAATGACGTCAACAATTATTACAAACAAAATTTTACAGTTTTCTATATAAGAAATTTGACTAAAAATTTATCTTTTAGTATTTATTTCTACTAATAAATCATTTTCCAATACCATTTAACTAAATTCATATTTTAATTAAAGAAGTAGTTCAAATGTTAAGACTTTGAGAGCTTTCAAGCTCTATGATGATTGAAAGAACAAAGGTTTTGAGAACTTGACAAAACTGTTATTGGTTCACAGTTGAAGGAATAACAACGTTGTGAGAGGGACAAGAAATTGAAAGGGTTGCCCATGACTTGAGGTGGGATTGAGCAAGAAAAAGAAAAATCAAAATATCAAGAAGCCGAAAGCGAAACACCATATGTCATAGCAAATCATCGTGTTTGTTTGATGAGACTGTTCAATTATAAATAACGACATAAATGATCATTTTTATTTAACCATAACCACAATTATTATTAAAATGGAAAACCACCACAATATTGTTTAACAATATTGTGGTGATGATTTTAATTGAATAGTTTCACCATGTTAGTATAATGATTAGATGAGACCATTCCATATAACCTGCCAAAAACTATTGGTCCCAACTTGAGTTCTTTTTTTTCTTTTTTTGTTCTTCAACAAATCTAATGACAAATGGTTAATTGGTATGAAAATCATAACCCAAACGAGAAAGGAAAAAATACCAAAAAAATAAAATTATGAGTCATTGTCACTATCATCTTCATTTTCATTATAGTTTTAGTCATATCAAGGTGTTCTTTTTAGCTCCGGTCTAGCTGAGTTATAAGACCTCATTCATAAATTTAATGACGGAGAACTGACTGTAGGGTTGATATATGTGTCAACTTGTCGATGACATATTTATAATATTCTTTTTTATATATAATTATATAGGAATCTGTAACATCGTCAACTAGACTTATTTTGCCCTAATTAATACTGAAAGAGATTTTACATGGAGTGTTATATTGATTGAAATAATGGGGTTGGTATGTTGCTTTTGCGACCCTTTGAAATTTATATAAAGTCTCCATCGTTTTTTTGTCACATTGGGACCACTCATCAGTAGGTTAATTTTGATCAATCAAATTAATATTGTTAATTAATTAACTCCATTTGATTAGAGTATTAGATAATTATTTGTTTAATTTGATGAATTTTTTATTTTTACTTTGTTGGATTCATTATTGAGGGGATCTTGGTTAATTATTATTTAAATTACTTTTAATTAACATGAAGAAGTACTAGAGCTTGATTAAATACAAGATTCCTTGTACTATAATCACTTAAACAAGACTTAATTTTTGAGATCTAATTAGCTCCCCTGCCCTTATATATTAAAGGATTAAATCCTCCACCATGACATCATGAATTTATTCGAGTTTTGAAACATTAATTTAATTTTGTCATGTATTTATTTTTATTTACATACAGTCAAGATTTTGCTCGAATCAGTCTCATACTAGATCATTAATACTTTAAAATTTTTATTTAGGTTCAGTAATTGTTTTTCTCATCAACTTAAGATGTTTAATTTGTATATAGAAGTAGTGCTAAAAATTGAAAAAAATATATATATAAAATGCTCACTTGATATTTTTTATATCTATTAATCTTCAAAAAAGAATGAAGATTTTTTTTTTTTAACTGAGGTGTTCAGGTTAATTTACGCACACCTCAACTAATCCTCAAGAGAGTTATCTCACAATAACCAACCGCCACAACTCCAAGTTAAAAAGCGGGGATGAAGCCATGCACAACCCCCTTGGTTGGCCCTTATTGTTGGGCTACCCATGGGTGGGCGGATCTAGGATTTTTCCTCAATGGGGACAAAATATAAACTTAAAAAAAAAATTAAAACCAATCATAAATGCACTTTTTTTTTTTTTCATTTTCATTACAATGAGCTTCAATAGAAAGTTATAAAATAAAAATAAATATTTTCAAAAAACATAATTTTTGTAAAAATAAAACAATTTTTCTACAAGTGTCCCTAACTAGTTTTCCTATTATGAAAACGTTGGATAATCATCTCATTGTCAATTATATTAAATACATCTTTTTCAATATAGATGATCAAGCAATCATTCATTCATTGATCTCCCATTCGATTGCATAACCGATTTTTCACAAGATTCATTGTAGAAAAAACCCTTTCAACAGTCGCAATCGCAACTGATAAAACCAATGCAACTTTCACAAGCTTATACACCAACATATGCAAAATTTCTTTTTTAAACCGAACTAAATTCTTAACCAAATGACCAATTCCTTGTAACTCAGCAAATTTATCACAAGAATGTATGTCAATAACATAAATCTCAATCTAGTTCTCAAGTACCATTAACTCAAGTGTAGAAAAATCAAATAGATAAAACTGACCAAACTCATTCTTCCCTCTCTTCTCTTTTTCATTTTCCTTTGCTTCTTCTTCCTTTCTTCTTTATGGGTTTTTCTCTCTTTTTCTTCATTTTTGGCAAACAACCTAGTTTATATATAAAACAACTTCTTTGAATTATGAAACTGCCATAAGATTCTCTTATTCTCACCATGATCTCGCCACATTAGTTTTCTGATGTAAAAATGCCCAGATTTCTCCCCTCAGTTAAATGCAAACCCAACAGTTCTTATTCCTTTCATTTTCACTCATAATAAAACTTTTAAAAACTAACAGATCATCTTGCATAAAAATAAAAATCACAAAAAATATGTAATATATATACTAGGATTAAAAATAAGGTTTTACAAAAATAAAATCCAAACTAACCATGGGGGCTGTTCCCAAAATCTCATAATTCTATAAGTGTAAAATTTAAATAAATATAAGATGTGGACTTTTTTCAAAAGTTGAGTGGGGACTCTAGTCCCCACAAGTCATTAATTGGATCCGCCACTGAATATATATATATAACTTTCAAATCTTTTTATTTGATAATATTTTGGGAAAAATATTTTGTCCCAAACTACTTGAAACAAGATAACTTTATATTACAAGAAAAACTAACATAACTTTGTTTAATTATTTCTTAATTAAAGTCTCATTTCTTTTTCTAGAAATGACTTACAATTAAACAAATTATAAACCCAAAAGAGATCAAATAAAAAATAAAAATAAAAATAATTTTCATTGAGTAAAAAGTCGGTTACATAATTATTTAATTAATTAGTTGAAGGTTCTTTATCAAAGGTCTATGTGGTTTCAATGAAAAACAAGCAAAAGAAAACATAATAGACTCATTTTCAAACAATATTTAATTAAATTAAGCTTAATTAATTAATTAATAAACTTATATTTGACTCATTCAAGTGCTGTAAAGCTTCCAATTGTTTCATAATTAAATTAGGTAATTAATTAAGCAAATAAACAAAGATTTTAAATCCCTTTCAGGGCTCCCTAATTATGGGTCACATAAGATTCCAACACGAATAAAAATATAAACCAAATCTTCAACATCAAAGCTGCATAGATTTTTACTTAATTCTTTATTTAGAGTCAATCTTTCCCACTATTTGTGACCAATAATTCAAGTTTTCTCGGGATTTATCTCTCCTCACGGGTGTGTGGATGGGAGCGTTTTTATTAATGAAAATTAATTTTAATTAAAAATAAAAACTAGTAACGAGAAATATTTACACAAGAAAGTCTTACCACCTTACTTTCCTAACATGATAAAATTGTTCAATGAAAATATATTATATACTATCACGTGTTAAAATTTATTTTTATTAAATTCACCGGTTTTAGAAATTATCATCTTATAAAATTACCCTTTTTGATGGATTACTTAGAAAATATATTTGTCTCACATCGCTAATTTAATGGACTATTATAGTATGTATGTGGTTAAACTCTCTCCTCTCTTGAGTTAGTTTTTGTGGGTGAGTTCTACCCAAACTTGTTTATCATGGTATCCGAACCATCTTTGTTTGGGGCGATGGTAGGTCCTGGTGGGTTTGGACCCTTACCATGCATGCCGAGTAAGAAGAAGAGTGTTAGAAGTTGTTTTTGTTTCACATTATTAGTTTAGTGGACTGATCTTTCGATGTATATATATGGTTAGATTCTCTCCTCTTTTGAGTCAGCTTTTAAGGCTGCTCTACCCAAGCTCATTTATCAAGGTTTATCGTGTTAAAAATTTGAGGTGATGAATCTTTAATTTTACTTCTAAAGTGACATGTCGTGATTTTAGATATACATGCAGATTTTATACAAATGTGACATGATAAGACCGTTTAGTGAAAAAATATCATGTATAACAACATAAATATTAAATTTTCCTTCTTATTGATAATCTAATCATATCGCGAAACTGAAATGTTGAGACTGTTTTAAGTAAGTTTTTTCTCATTTTTTTAAGTTTTACATAAAAAAGACATATCGTGTTTTTATATGTATATGCATATTTATATAATTGTGTTATTTATTGCATGATTTCGTACTTCTAAAATATGAAAACTTTTGTTAATGTTATTAAAAATGTTTTAGAAAAATAATAAAAACAGTACTTTCAAATAATATCAAAATTATAAACATAATTAATTAATTAGCAACTAGTAATTAAAAATCCATTAAGCTTTGGCAAATCCCAAGGCATACTGTTGGGTTTATGGGTGTCACCTCAACCCCATGTTTCCTGGTGAGGATTAGACAAAGCCTGCCCACTAATTATAATTAATTACCTAATTAATTATCTTCTTGGCTTTAATTAATCAAGTTCAACAACTTTTTTGGACTTTCAAGTTACTTTTAATTTAATTAATTTTCTTTTGTTTTACTGGGTTTAATCAATTAATTTATCTTTTACTACTTGCATCATCAACATGATTTTACTTTATGCTAATTTTGTCCCATTGCACCAAGTGGAAAGATTAATTAATTAATCTTAATTATACCTTTAATCTACACCATAAAATACTCATAAATAAACTTAACGTCATTACCAATATGATTCAAGTGAACCAGATTTTTTGGAAGTGATTCTGTGACTTGTAATCCACCTCATCATTAATAATTTAATCCATAAATTAATTACAATTTGATCCATCATTAAAGAGGTTTATAAATTAAGTTTAAAATTGAATTCTGCCATAATTTATGAAAAAGAAGAATATTTTTAAGAAATTCTTTTAAATTTTAATGCATAGAAATAGTTTTTTAATAGAACCAAGGTCCAAGTATCAGGGCAAAACCAACGGAACCCGAAGTGTATTGGTAATTTTTTTGTAAACTATTAAGGGTGTATTTATAATTTTCATAGAGTATATTTATCATTTTTGTGAATAATATGGAGTATTCGTAACTTTCCCGGATACCCAAACAGGTTCCAATTCTAGCTATTGAGGAACTAGAACCAGCCGGTTCTGATTCCTTGGGAAGAGGGCGGGTACCTAGACCGATCACCCCTAATTTTTGATCTTATAAATAATACTACTTGAAAGAGTGATGTCTTGAGCCAGGGTCTGCAATGACCATGGGCCTGTGTTTTGTTGAGAGGCCTGTTGGGCTCCATCCTTTTTGGACGCAACAAAAGCGTAATATAGAATATTACAGGATAGCAAGAACATATTTTTGAACTTAATTTGATATATTATTTACCAACACAAAGCAGATGGATGGCTGCTCCACAATGAGGTACAAGGCAAATGGGCTACACAGGACTAAAGATACCAACATATATAGGACTCTTAATTAACCACAATTCATGCCAAGAAAGTGGAAAGTGAAAACATTAACCACAGCTTTGATTAAAGAGAAAGGGAAAATCCATTCAGTCTTCCACTTTTCTCTCCTTGCAGAATAATATTTTACTTGTATTCCAAAATCATGTTGTTCTCTGGAGCCAACCCAATGCATGCCCTAAGGATGTTCTCCAGCATAGCCCTCTGCTTTGAGAGTGCATTCACCACTGGCGTCCCTGGTGGAACCTTTTTTTAACAAACAAATTTCATCCGTTAACACTCTTAGACCTTTATTAATCTAACAGTTATCGAAGATAGATAATAGTTTTTTTTATCTTTTATACAGTATTAATCCAACAGTTATCCATAGTCGGACGGTCTTATACCCTATGAATCCAACAGTTATCAAAGATTGGTAATAGTTTTGTATCAATCCAACAGTTATCAACGATTGGTAAAAGAGCTTGAAAAGGGCCTTGAAGACTTACAAGAGGGGCCTTGGTGAGGTAACTGAGAATGGTAGCCACAGGGTGGAAAGAGTGGAACTTTCCCTGAAAAATTACAATTTTGCATAGTAAGATTTTGGTATATTAAAGATAGACAAAGAGTAAGTAAAATATATGAAGAAAACCAACCTCTCCTTCAGCTTTGAGCTGGATCCTGGTGCTGAGTTCAGCTAGAAGAACCAAATCTAAAATGATGGGAGCTGCCAAAAGAGAGTCTTCACAAGTGTTGTGCAGCACAATGGTGTTCTTGCCACCCATGAATATCTCGGATGTGTACTCATCCATGGCTCTCTTGCTGTCCCCAACATATGGCACATACTGCAAAACATCCAAATTTATGTATTACTTCGTGTTTATTTACATCTCATGATGTAGACGTCTGTACTAGAGATTGACTGAGAGGGATGAGCATTATACCTTGATGACCACGACGTGGTCAGGGTGCTCGCCCGGCTCATAGAGGATACCATTGCTGGAAACCATGTCATCAACAACATTGGATTTGGAGATTTCCTTGGAGCGGAAGGTTTGTGGGGCCGAGAGATTCATGCCATCATTGTTTCCCAAGTGATTGTAGCTCACAATTGAAGTTGGCTGAGAATTAATCAATCATATCACCACTATCAGAATCTATAATTCAATCCAATTATAACGATAAATTCTTCATCAGAATCTAAATTATTCATTACCTTGATGCCAGCACCAACAAGAAAATCAACCAAAACAGATTTCATCTTAGTCTGACCACTCTTGAAGTCATCTCCGCCGATCAAACTGTTTCTGCTAATAGCTAAATCAATGAGCCCTGAGCATAAACAACACAAAGTTAATCAAGCAAATTCACATAATCTTCCAAATTAACCATCAAAAAGAGATAAATTATAAGCTTAATTACCTGGAACAAAGGTGTTCTGGGGGCTTCCATTGATGAAAGGAACGTTTTCAAGTACACAAGCAATAGCAAACAAAGTTGAAGGAGAAATCTCAGCTTCATTCTTATCCAATGAAGCGAAAAGATTCTCCATGGTATCATTCAGCCCCACAATCACATTACTGTACCGCTCTGTGTTAGCAGTCCACAGTACAACAATTTTGTCCACCTTGCTTTTCTCCTTGAACTCTCTAATTAACACCAATCAACCAACCAACAAACACATTAATTAATCAATTCATGAAAGGAAACAAATTAAATCAGATTAAACGATTGGTTTCTTAGTCTTCTGTACCTAATATCCTTGATGATTTGTTCAAGTTGTTCTTTCTTGGTCCCCTTGATCACGTTGTTGGCTCGTGACCCTTGATTGGCAGCGATGAAATCAGGGTCGTAGATTCCAGGGAGAGGGACCATGGATTCCATGTAGGGCCTCAATTGTTTTTGCAAATCAATGTCAAAAACTTTGGCTCTTGCCATGGCATCAGCAAGATTCATGTCACTTATGTCCCAACCTCCAAAAACAATGTCATCTGGGTTCACCTGTAGTTTTATTATTAAAAAAAAATATTGATTATGGGGTCAAATTAGACTGAAATTATGAGTGATTTACGAAAATCTGAAAACAACCCAGTTGAATTGAACATTTTTACCATGGGAAGAAGGCTCTTGAATGGAGCATAAATCTCTTCTCCATTGTAAGATCCAACTCTGATTGATGATGCTTGTGTTAGTGAGCCAAAATAATTGGCTTGTTGCACCTTGTCCTTGGTGGCCCAGGAGATTCCTCTGAAAACAAATAATAAAAAAATAAATCTCACAAATCAATAAAAAATTCTCATACAAGACAAAATAATCAACAGAAAAAAATTAACCATAAATAGGGAAACTCACTCTCGATTTGCTGTGACACCACCAGTGAGTGTGGAACCGTTGTTTCCTCCCCAACCCACAAGCATAACCCTATAAAAAAACAACGAAAATGTTGTCAAAAAAAAGTTTTTGAAATCAACCCAGAAAGCAAAAACAAATCTTTTTGTTGAAAAAGATTGACAAATTTGGAAACAAACCCTAGTTTGGGGACACGAGCGTCGGTTTTGAATTCATATTTCACAGTCTTGGGCTTGACAATCCACTGATAAGTTCCATTTCTGTTCTCATGAACGAGCTCAGTGGTTTCATACTTGTACACAGACTGAATCTCATCCTCTGTGTACTTCACGTCGGGGCTCTCAACCTTGAAGTTTTCGATAAACATTTTTGTTCAAAACTGAAACAATAAAAACACTTTTGAAAAACAAGAAGAAGAAGAGTTTGTTTTTGTTGCTGAAAGTAATGAAAGTGTTTTGTGTTTTTAGTAACTAAACTCTTCTCCTCACTTGATCTGAGCCTTTGTGCTTCTTAAACTTGCACCAATCAGACGTATATATAGAGAAATTTATACACGTGGCGACACTTTAGTGGGCTGTGGCCCATTCTCATATGAATTATTGGCGCTTGGTTCTTAGTGAAGCTTGGCCATGCAAAATATTATACACATGAGAGTGTTTCTTTTATTTTTGGTTAATAAAATGATCCCCCTAAGGGTTTATATAATTTCATAAAACCACCTATACCTTGAGAATTACCTCTCACTATCACTATATAGACTAACTTTCTTAATATTACCATTTTATGTGTTTCTACTCATGATTAGGAAATATTATTATTATTATTTTTTTTTTTTGAATTCTTCGATCGACACATCAGATTAAAATGTGTTGAATTGTATATATTTATGTGGAGAAGGAAATTAATGACAAGCTAATTCCAAAGGGAATCATGGAAGAAGGACAACAATGACATACCATAGCTGAAGATAAGCAAAATCTTAACAGATGATTTTAAGGGGTTTTGAGATAGGATTTAAACGTTAGGGAGGTGAATGTAATGGTATCCTCTTTTTGTATTTTAATTTGGGTGTTTTTATTTTCATTGGACCGTACGTATGGGGTGACACGAGTGAGAAGGAGAAGAGAGGAGGGACACGTGTGAAAGTACTTTACAAGTGGCGAAATCTAGAGAGGCCATATTTTGTAATTTTCCTGGCGTTCGCGTGGGGTCCATCGGATTGGGAAGGTACTGGTGGAAGGGAAAATTAGTGAGGTGACGGTGACCGAGACCCATGAGTGACAGAGTGAGTGATGTGATGTTCACGCGCGAGTGGAGAGTGATTTTGTGTTTTGGAGAGGGCACTTGGCTGGTCTGTGGTTGGTTTGTTTTTGACAAGCGATGAAGTGACCTGTCAGAGTAGCCTTTCTCAACTGTCAGGTTGGCCAGTTATGACCGTTTTAACTATTCCACACATCCCAGTGGACCTCCTTCAAACTTTTTGCCTTTTTATCCCTTCGTGGGTCCGTTACCCCTTTGGCAAAAATTTACTTCAATAATTTGATTGTTTTCATTAAAGGGTATAAATGCAATGTTATAAGTACCAATTTATATATTTCTGTATAATAAATAAAGCTAGAATTAATTTACACATGGTAGTGGAACAGTAAGAGCGAACTAAGGGTATTATCCAAGTTTGATTTCTCATTCCACACAAATATAGTATTTTTGTCTATGATTAACTTGAAGGGTTGTGATAGTGAATTATTAAAGAATAACTTTTCTTGAAGACTGATAGCATATTCAATATATTTTTGAAAAATATTCAATATTTTTTTTAATGGAAGATGCTAGCAAAGGTCCCTCACAAAGATACTGAATTTAATCCAATATTGAAAACAAAAATTGAATACTTCCAACAACTATATTTGGATTCTTCGCAAAATTGTAAAAGAGGCACAGTCTTGTCAACATTTAATTATTTTCATTAAGATATGCATGTTATTTTTAATAATTCTTTGATTTGGATCACATGCATTACTGGTCCACTGACTTATTACAATGTTTAACTAATTAATTACAGCAAACCTATGATAATTATACAGGGTTATTAATTTTCCTGTCATTTCTAGTTTCTTATTCCTTTGAAAATGAGTATTTATAGTAATTAAATTTCATTAAAACATTACACTATATATATATATATATATATTATATATATATATATATAATATATATATAATCTATATATATATATATATATATATATGGGGAATGTGGTTGATCTCTACTTAAATAGCGGATGCTTAGATGAGGAGTCGAATTTGAGACTATGCGTTTATTCACACTATCTTCAATTCGTTCTAATCATCTGAATTATCTACGGATGTGTTATAATACATATATATGCATATACAATAAATTTTTCATGCAATGGATGGTTAAAATTCGATCAATTTCTTTTGTATGAAAAACTGTAGAATTTTAATATTATTATAAGAGTTATTTTTAACGTGCATATTAAGAGACTAAACCACTAATTATTACTGTAAAACCCCTTGTCAATCCAAAAACTTTAAGTGTTTTTAAGCAAATAATTTCATATTTGAATCTTCTTATCATATCTAAGTTGATCTTATCGACTTTACTAGTTTAAAATCTTAGTTAATTACGCAACTAGAAGGGTGTTTAATAAATTTTCTAGTTGTATTTAATATAACTTTATTTATTTATTTATGTGTGCATGCATATGCAGTAAAAGGGTCAGAATCATGTGATGCAATAATAAAAAATTCAAAGGACAAGAACAAGACTCTCTCGTGCCTTCTGCCAAAGATCAGAGGCCACGAAATTGATTTGTGGTCATTGGAGCTCTCTGCACATGAGTGGCCATCCTCCGACGAAAATCACATAATCCTCAGCTGCCCTCCCCCACACCACTACTACTTTTGCCCCACTCCCCCAGGTCCCCAGTATTTCATTTTTCCCCATTTCTTCAAGCAACAGGACACACTCATTCAACGCACAAAGAAGAGAGTTTCACTAAGGTTTTGCTTTCTTTGATAGCATTTAATCCATTCGTCTACCCTTCCAGGTTTGCAAAATTGATAATACATACACAATATCCCTAACCCTGTTGTCAATTTTTATCGATAAAATTGACTTTTGGCCAATTGTAACCATTAAATGACAAAATTATTCTTAAAATAAAGAATTAGGATCTTTTCTTGATACGAAATGTCACAAGCTTTAAAAGATCTAGTAACACATATAACTTGTCGTGAACAAAGAATTAAGATACCATCTTGATCTGAACTATAATTAGCTTATAAAGATCTCATGACACGGGTAAATTTGTAAGCATTTGTTGTCCATCCAGTAATTTCAATAGTATATTTTAGTCAGGGAAAACTCAGATAAGAGAGTATCCTGATCCAAAATAAATTTGTCAAAAGTTAGTTTCAACACCAATGAAAAACTATGGGCCATTGTTTATTTCGCAAGTTTTAGAGGAACCGAATGGATTTGATCCTTTCTGGGATGATTAATTTCCTTATTAGTACATTCATACTGTAAGAAAAATTATTCTAAAGAGTGGTCCATCCACGCATGATGATCACATATCATGATTTGATAATTTTCATTCATTTAATCGACCCCACCTTTTTGATGAAGTAAGGACCATGATCACATGAAAGCCTTCGATGTGTTTCCTTCACTTTCTTCTTCACAGTATTACTGTGCTTAAATTTCTTATCTTCTGCCCTTTGTGCATGGCTTTTTTGATGTAATGTTTATTTTTTAATTTCTATATTCTAGCTTTTCGGCTCCCCGTTTCGGGTCTCTAGAGCTTTCCAGTATTGACTATTGAAAATGAAGACAAGCAACAATTACAACATGTTTAATCTGAGTTTCTGGCACAGTTACAATGCACTAGCCACGAGGTAATGAATTCTAGCTCAGAGTTTTGAGTTGTTTCAGAAAATTATTTGACACTTCAACGAATTCCTTCCTCTTTAAATTATATAGCATTCTCTACGAAAATGGAATCGTTTCATTTTGTTTCTATAGTATCATTTTGTTTATCAATTATCTATCTATTACTATATATCGATAATTCTTTTATATGTGAAACTTCACCAGGTTTTGTCGATAAACAGTTTCCTGAAGTAATCTAATACTAAAAAGTAACTTTTTCGTGTAGATTTTGTTTACAGTGCTTTTGAATTTTGATCCTTTCATATTCAATGATTTATAAATTCCATGGAAAACACACTGAAAATAAATAAATTTTCTACAACTTTCCCTCTCAAAGAATTGCTTTATCAATGATTGTCAACTAACAAAGAAGGAGGTGACCCCTATCAGTTTAACTTTTTAAAAAAGTGCTTTGAAAGTTCATGAATGTTCATTAATTGTAAAATGTAGACAACTGAAAGTGCTAGGCTGCTCCCTCCTTTTTTTTTTTTTTTTTTTTTTGGTGTTCTGTTTTGGATACCTTTCCGCAAACTTGGGGTGCCTGAAGCTGCATGTGAATTCACCATCTCTTCTTTTTGCAATTAGGTAGTGCGTTTTATCATTTCTCCTTTGTCATGAAACACATTTTGAGCCCAATTATTGTACCCCAATTTTGCTTGACTAGTAATATGTCGCTCTCTCCTTGTTTTGGTCTTTGATTGCTTTGTATTATTATCATTCTATCACACATGTATTGTTTTCACTTTTGTATTCCTGAAATTTTCAGTTAACATTTTTGGGAAACAGTAGTGTTATATTTCAGCATTCTCAAATTTGCGGTTAAGGATTTGGGGTTATAGATATTGTAGCCAGAGTCTTCAATGTTAGACGTTTAGACTGTAGAATTCAGCTCGCCTTAAAATAAGAAAATACTACTCTCCATTGTCAAACTTGGGACCTTCCTCGATACAAGTTTAAATAATTTTTTTCTTTCATAGTTTGTACTCCAGGATCATACATGCATTTTTTTTTTTCAAAATTAATTTACATTATGAGGGTGATATTCATTTCGTATATTTGATTAGGTGTATCTTTCATTTTTATTAATAAAATCTCCTTGTACTATCGAGGTTCCCTTAAGAATTTTTTATTTTATTTTTTTATTATGATAAGATCTTAACAATGATCAATCCAATATTTGTGTTAATTGAGATAATATTATATTTCAAAAATCAATCTCGATGATGAGATTACAAGTTCTAAAAGTAATCGATGAACACAAAAGAAAGATCGAGTTACAACTATAGACAAAAAAATTTTGATAACATGATTAATAAAACATTCTAACAAATTAACTATGTCCACAATTGCATTCATCATACAACAAGGTCCCTCGGTTGACTATTAAGAAAATTGAAAACAAAAGATAAGGAAGTGTCTGGCTCTTTGGAGAAAAATAAAAGTATTTAACTGGCTGTGCAAAAGGAGCAATCAAAAGGCTCTTTTTTGCAAGAAAAAGTTTAGTATACATCATAGTTTAATTGATTAATTTCACCATATGTTTCTTGAGAATTAATC